AGGTTACTTGAGGTTCCATGAACACACACGTGTTTTTCCGAAGTCGTAAGCCAGCACTTGCTAGTCGTTTTAAGACTTCTTCCAGATTGTTTAAGTGATCTTCATCGCAGGCTCCGGACACTAGGATATCATCCACCCGGACGATTACACAAGGAATGTTCTGCAGTAGATTCTCCATGTTCCGCTGAAATATTCCTGGTGCTGACGATATCCCGTAGGGTAGGTGGTTGTACTGGAACAACCCCTTGTGTGTGTTAATGGTGGTGTACTGTTTAGATTCATCATCAAGAAGAAGCTGCTGGTAGGCTTGGCTCATGTCCAACTTCGTGAATTTTTCACCTCCTCCTAGTGTCGCCAGGAGGTCTTCAACCTTCGGGATACGATAACTGTCCAGTTTTGACACTTGATTGACAATTGTTTTGTAGTCTCCGCAGATGCGAATTGAGTCGTCTGATTTCAAAATAGGTACAATGGGAGCAGCCCATTCCGAGAACTGAACCGGTTCAATCGTTCCCCCATCTTGTAGCCTCTTGAGTTCAGTCTCAGTCTTCCCCGTCATAGAATATGGCACTGGTCTCGCCTTCAATAATTTTGGTTGTGCATCTGATTCCACATGAATTTTCGCCTTTGGGCCCTTGAAGGTCCCAAGTCCTTTTCTAAACACTTCTGAGTACCGGTCAACCAATTTTTCACGTGAAGACTCTTGGTTGTTGTTGACAACTTGCATTTTGAACAACTCCTTCCAATTGAGTGTCAGAACTCTCAACCAGTCCGGGGCATTACCAGAAATGGGTATATGATTTCCTGTACTCTGATTGGCTCACGCAAAACCTAAACATTGCCTGGACCGCGAAAGGACTAAGACCGAGAGGAATGGCGAGCGAAAAGAAATCTATGTCGGCGGGGACGTCGCATAACAAACTACAATAATAATACGGTGGAATCCTCCCCATCTATTAATCCCGTGATCTCTGGAACCTGCGAATAATTCGAACTACTAGGCGTTTTCCTTGGATTCGATTTATTCGTGTAATTAATTTTACCCCCGATTCGAACCAATTTTCCTCTATCGTATAAAAGCTTAGTTTCGATAAAGTTAAGATAAACTGTACTAATGCGACTTACTTTGCACGAGGTATCGTTTTCGCAACCCAGGACTGCCGAAGATCAACAAAGACTAATTTTGGCCTCGACAGCGCTGATCACCACTTTTAATTTAAGCTAAGCTGTTTACTGTTGCAATATGAAAGGTAATCTAGCTGAAATATTGATTTTATATCATCTCTATCAGGTAATGAAGACATTTGCAGTTATGTGGATTTTTGTGGATTTTTGTGAATTTTCTATTCATTTCTTTTCTTAAATCTTAACCCTTTTTCAACATGTGCTCTGGGGCAGTGAATCTCAACAATCTCAACTTTTTGTGATTCAATGTAGAACAGGTTAGAATTGTTTTAAAACGGGAAATTTATTTCATCCTTTCCATGTGTCATATCATATATGGAAGTTTTTCAGTGAATTTTAGAACATGATGCTACAAGTGTCCTTAAGCAAAAGTTCCAATATTTTATTCACATTGTATGAATTCCTTGTGCATTGGAAAAATAGGTAATAAAAGTAAATGTTTACTTTTATCCAGGTTTAAAAATATTGTATGTCACTACACTATTATAATTTAACTATCCCATTTTAGACATCTTTCTTTGCTGCTGCCTCAGACACTTCCCTCTTCTGCACACGAAAATTGTCACAGGATTTGTGTTCTGTGGACAAGCAAGGTTATTAAACAGCTACTAATTCACTAAAAGCATTTTCAGTTTCTTTTATTCAAAAGCTACTTTACTATAAGCATTGATTAGTCATTTGATTATGTTATTTTCATCATATAACACTTCATTTTCCTCTTTTATTGCTTTCTTGCCATAACCTGCAAGACAAAAATAATCATGAAGTTAGCGACCAATATAGTTAATGCACACTCATAGCCATCAAAAGTGAAATTCAGTCGGTATTATTTTACATGATGTCATTATACTTTACTGAATTTTTGGAATATCATAGGGGAAGATACCATAATATTCTCAAAGCAGGTACAAGGCCAGTACATGCCAGATCCTCCACAAGACCCCCAACCATATCCACCTTTCTGGGAGTAAATTTTAACAAAGAGCCTTTTATTAACAAGAAGCAAGGTTCACTTTCTTATCTTTTATTTTTATCCGTAATGATAAAACTAGAATTGATAGATCTGTATTTAAAGGGGATTTTTTGTGGCTGCGCTTTTGTTCAAAATAAGGAAGTATCAAATTATATTTAAATTTTCAGCCAAGTTTTGTTGTACCTTACCACAGCTACATGTATCAAAAGTGAGTTTTATACCTACTCGTATTTCCATGTCTTGAAAACCATCAATGGAAGATCATACTGACCCAATAGCATTTGTTATTTTGGTCACTTTTTTGAAGCTTTCTCCTCCTTTTCAACACGCAATAGCCAGTTGCAAGGAATGACTGCATCACCTCCTGCTCTTTTATTTTTCGCCTATTTCTGTGTAGCAGTGGGTTTCATTGACGCCTTTGGCTCTCCGGTTATTATGCTTAAAAAAAAAAATGTAACAATTAATATTGACATACCTGAATTCCTCCTGTGCATGACTTAAAAAAATAGTCATGAAACAAATATAAGCAATATAAATAACAGCCCTAATTTTCCTTTATCCATGAATCACAACTCATTACTTGTTTTTCAGCATGCAGAATTAACTTCAAGCAAACTTGTGGATTATTTTTAGGGGTGGGGGATATCTTTTTGTATTCTTTATGGCTTTATGGAGGGAGGAGGATAGCATTGGGTATTGGTTTTCTTTTAAGTTTGTGGAATTGCATTTGTTACTTAGGTTGATAGGCAAGGTAAGGGTAGGAGAAGGCTGCTGATCTTTAGTTGAATCTGCAGTTTGGATCAATCAAAGGAATAGTTCATTTCTTAGCCAAGGCTAATACAGGTTTTCTTTTCAAAAAAAAGATGTCAGCCAAACCCCAATTACAAATCACGACCACAGTGTCTGTGCCCACAAAAGCACCAGGCAAGTTTTTCACTTATCTCTGTAGGCGAAACCTTACGTCAGCTGTGCAGCACGAGTTTGGAAACCCAAGTGAAACAGTGGTTAAGCAATTTACAGACTTTTTCTGCCTGTTATTTGTTTATAAGCTTATGTACAATGTAATAGTGAAATACACTTACTCTTCAATCTTCTCAACGGTCCCGTTTTCAATTTCCTCCACAAATGTCTTGTTCAAGAAATATTGAACTCTTCCGACGGTTTTGCCGACAACTTCGCGGATTTGGTAGAAAAGTCTCTTTCTGAAGAGGCCTTATATCTTATCTACAGTGTTTCTTGAGGAAATCGTGGTGCTTTTCCATTACCTGTCGGGGAATAAAGTAAACACAGCTTGAAATCGGGTCCACTGCATGGTCAGCGCGATCGGTCAATAACAGACGCACGTGGCGAAACTACAGTACTTCATCTTTAAAAACCTTGGACCAAGCGACGCAGTCGTGGACCAACACAAAAATACCACCAAATGAAAGCAGATTTATAGACATTAACGACATATTTTTTTCAAAGAGGAAAAAAAATTGCAACGTACCTGATTTTTCCATCTATTTGGAGTCTTGTCGTGTAAAAACCAGAGCAAAAATAGTACAAAACAGTGAGGTTTTTGCCTCGAAACTCGAAGACGCTTCGCTAGCCGCCATTTTTTTCACACTCAACTAAAACTTCATTGTTATATTGTATTGTGTGCAAAGCCTTGAGGGAAAAGGCTGCTTTTAAGCCCCGAAAAGAGCTCGGAAGGGACTTTGTATAGTGTGCCTAGCTTTGGCGGCCATATTGCCATTTCTCATGACGTCAC